AAAAGCAGCTGGTCTTTAACGATAAATGGAACATGTTTGAACATGCCAAATTACATGTTTAGGCTTTCCCCACCCCCTCCTTTGGAGGAGGAAATCACCAATATAAATCACTGCTTACAACATGGTATTTATCTTCCAAAAATAAATTCTAACTTGTGGAGAATTAGATACTTAGATTATACGAAACAGTAAAAAATATAATTTTGATAAGATTATATTTTAGTTGCATAAAGTGCCATCCTAGAAAACTATTATCACTAGCAGCAAACATGTATTGAGCAAACGTTAAAATATCTTGCTAAATGTGGTCTAAAGAAAGAGGCCTAAGTAGCATTTTTTAAAATCCTCAGAGTTTATACTCTACCGAAATGAAAAGGTAAGGCACACTGTGAACAAGAGATATTGGTTTAGATAAGTGATGTAGAAATTTAGTAGGATTTCGTAGTCTAAGAATGAGATGGATAAAGTTCTGGTGTGGGTCAAGGTCAAAACAGGAGTCACTTGTGGCGCTGTGGGTTAATGCACCAGACTGCAAAGCCATTTGAACTGCAAGGTTGGCGGTTCAAGCTCACCAGCTGCTCTTTGGAAACCCTATACGGGATTGCTATGGGTCGGAACCAACTCAACGGCACTTCACAACAACATACATTACATTGGAGTCCTGTTATGGTGTTGTGGGTTAATGCTCCAGAATGCAAAGCCATTTGAACTGCAAGGTCGGCAGTTCAAGCTTACCAGCTGCTCCTCGGAAACCCTATACAGGGTCGCTATGGGTCGGAACTGACTCAGCGGCACTTAACAACAACAGCAACATACATTACATTGGAGTCCTGGTGTGGCGCTGTAGGCTAATGCATCAGACTGTAAAGTCCTTTGAACCACAAGGTCAGTGGTTCAAGCTCACCAGCTGCTCCTTGAAAACCCTATACAGGGTCGCTATGGGTCAGAATTGACTCGTCGGCACTTAACAACAACATACATTACATTGTTGTTGTTGTTGTTAAGTGCCATCGAGTCGGGTCCGACCCATAGCGACCCTGTACAGGGTTTCCAAGGGTGTAAATCTTTACGGGAGTAGAAAGCCTCATCTTTCTCCCGCGGAGCGGCTGGTAGTTTCGAACCGCTGACCTTAAGGTTCGCAGCCCGATTCGTAACCACTACGCTACCAGATTACATTAGTGGATGTTAATACCACACCCCAAATCATAACTACAGCAAATGGCTGAACTGTAAGTTCCTGTTTGGGTCTCTACATGCAGAGCTCTGTATTTGGCTATGTGACTTGAAGAAGTCCCTTAGCTGCTCTGAGGTATGATTTTTCTCTCTTACTCTGCCTTGGTCACAGACTACTAAAGGCTCAAATATGACTAGTTTCTAATCTACAAAGTATATTTTTATTAGGTAGCTAGTATTGAAGTAACATGCTCTCAAATTTTCATAAAAAGTTATGAGCAAAGAAAAAAAACTATAGCACTGACAACAGTTATATACCTCTCTTTGAGGCAGGTATAAAAGCTATCAAGTTTGTGATCATTAAGTTGATGTCACAGATGACCAGGTTGGTGTCTTCTGTGTTACCTAGTTTACCAACAAATCATATTTGACAAAATTTTGCATCAACAGATACCCTCATTAATAGACAAGGGCAGTAAGAACAAAATTCACAGTACTGGATACTTGATATGGAATCCCTGGTGGCACAATGGTTAAGTGCCTCAGCTGCTAACCAAAAAGGTCAGTGGTTTGAACCCACCAGCCACTGTGCAGGAGAAATATGCAGCAGCCTGCTTTTATAAAGATTTACAGCCTTGAAAATTTACTGCCCTATATCTATTCTCTCCTATAGGAACTCTGGTAGCATAGTGGTTACGAATCGGGCTGCTAACCTCAGAGTCAGCAGTTCGAAACTACCAGCTGTTCCGCAGAAGAAAGATGAGGCTTTCTGCTTCTGTAAAGATTTACAGCCTGGGAAACCCTGTACAGGGTTGCTATGAGTTGGAAGCGACTCCACAGCACATAACAACAACATCTATTCTCTCCTATAGGGTTGCTATAGGTAAGTAGGATAAGAAGGCAATGTGTAAGGTATTTGGTACTTTAAAAATGTGGGCTGGAATCAGGATGTGGTAGAAAAAATAGCTGGACCATGATTTCTCAAGTGTGAGGATAATATACTCAGGTCCTGCCCTAGACTCACAATTCAATCTCTGAGGTAGAATATAGAAATCTGCTTTTCAATAAGCCCCTGAGGGAACTCACTCATACACTCTTCAAGTTTCAGACAACAATACTCTAGTGTAGAGGCCAAAGAGCCCATGTTGTTTTCATTTGATCAATTCAGGAGCCTAAAGAATAATTTACCCTCTACCTCCTAAGTATTCTGTTAAGTATTCTCCCAGAATATATGAGTAAGGTCTTTTAATTTTAGACCCATCATTCCTAAACTTGAAATGTACAGGGAATTAAGTCCAAGGTGAAAGATGAACAGCCAGACATCAGGAAGGACCACCCCCAAAAAAGAACTAAGTACTTTCTGGTTCTGGTCTCTCTGCCTTTGGACACCTGTGGGAATCTCAGGAATCCAAACATCTTTTTTTTTCCACAAGGAAGATGGTATCCTGGAGACAAACCTACTTCACTAAATATACCAAAGCAATCCTGTCTGCCAGGGCTGCAAAAGGATAAATAACCCCAGCGGAATTAGGGTATTTCTCTCCCAACTCACTCAACAGTTAGTACAATATGCACACACAAAGTCCTCTGGATAAGAAACAGGGACTGTGGGGAGAAATGTTAGTAGAACGGATTTAGCATGAAGTCATTTTCTTTTACCCATGATTTATGAAACACAAAGTTTGCTAAAGATTTCAAATACTAAATATGTATCCTACTCTGTCTCCCTAATTAATGCTATTTAAAAAATTAAACCCCATAACTATTAAAATAAAAATGGTATCTTGATGAGATAAACTGGCAGGCCTTCATACCCTGGCAGGCCTGAAGGATGCTTTCGCCCACAGAGAGATTTTGTTTAGTCTGCAGCGCTGTTGTTTTTAATTTGAATTACTTGCCAACTTTAAAACAAAATTTGAAACTTTAACATAAAAATCCAGATTTTCAAATCAGGATGGAATTTCAGTAGTAAACTGGCCCCTATCAACAATCATCTTTTGGGCCCAATGGTGTTCATGGTCTTTGGCCTATATACTAGCAAGCCAAATTCTACAGTTCCTTTTTGTGACTTTCTCTAGGTAGGAAGGGGAAGAGAACCAGACAAAGGTGTTCATTCTTTTTTGTATTCCATCCAGAAATAAAGTGACTTCCAAGTAAATACTGGCAGGCACTTGGGCTGGACCAGGACTGGGGGAGTTACACCCATATATCCTCCCTTCCTTACATGCATCCAATGTAGATCAAGAATGGAAATACAATAGTCATCATCTTGCAGCCTTTAGTGACATTATTGACAGAACAGCACATCTTCCTGCCTATGGGAGCTCCTCATCCAAGATATAAAAACACACATACGCACAGAACAACTTATATAAAAAGGAAGTCCATGATCATCAAATATTCAGTACCATGTCAGAAAATGGACTTGAGAAGGCTGGGATTCAAGAAGTCACGTTTGCTGTTTGCAGTGTAGGTCTCCTTTACAAATTTGTTGAAATGAATGACTGGGCAAGTTACTCCTGATGCCCTGACATCCTTATTAGGAATGCAAAGACGATTTGGAGTGTAACCAAGAGATTTCTATCTTGAAAAGTAGATAATTATAAACAAGGTCCTTAGCTAATCTCCTACTGCTAAAACGTGCTAAAATCAGATGAGTAATAACACTTGCTTTAATCAGCAATCTCCCCTAATATAGAAGCAAAACGGTAGTAAAGTATTTCTGGGCAGCATAAACCATGGTCCAATTCTAGTAGGCAGTACCCAGCGAGAAGCTAGGAAAATTGCCCTTAGTGAAGCTCAACAGATTGTGTCTCCTGAGCAGGCTGTTCTTTCTCTAGTTGTAGAACAGTAGGATAGTACTCATCACCTCTGCTTTTTAAGAATGTCGCATTGTCTGTAAACCATTTGCAGTACCTCAGGAACAAGGTGTTATATGAAGAGGCCACAGTATTCCTGTTTACCTCACAAGAAGCCTCAATGGAATGAGAACTATTTATATGTACCTGGTACATAAGATAAACATCTGGCTGCTAACTGAAAGGCCAATGGTTTGAACCTACCAGCCACCACATGGGAGAAAACTGTGACAGTCTACTTGTATAAAGATTGTTGCTGTTAAGTGCCATTGAGTCAGTTCCAAACCATAGAGACCCTGTATAGGGTTTCCAAGGAGTGGCTGGTGGTTCAAACTGGCCTTGCAGTCCAGAGCATTAACCCATGGCACCACACCAGGACTCTCCCCATGGTTGTTATGAGCTAGAATTGACTCCATAGAGATGGATTTGATTTGGTAAATATGACTTTATAGTGTTAAAAAGCAAAGCTGTCACTTTGCATACTAAGCCATACCTGACTCAATCCATGGTATTTTCAATGGTCTCATATGGATGCAAAAGCTCACCAATGAATAGGAACAGAGAAGACTTAATGCTGGTGAGTTATGGTGTTGGCAAAGGACACTGAAATCTACCAGGGACTGCTAGAAGAAGGAACAAATCTCTCTCGGAAGTACAACCAGAATGCTCTTAGAAGCCAGGATGCTTGGTGAAGTCAAGAGGTCAGTGAAAAAAGAGGAAAACCCTTAATGCCATAGATTGACACAGTGACTGTTAACAATAGGCTCATACATAGGAATGACTGTGAGGATGGCACAAGACCAGGAAGTGCTTTGTTCTGAGGTACATAGGGTCCTATGAGTCAGAACTGACTTGACAGCACCTAATAATAACAACAGCAAACATGACTAACTCCTTACCCTCTCTCCAATGAGAAAAAGGAGAGGGGTGATGGAGAAGGCAGTTAAGGATGTCCAAATTAGCACCCACCTCTGTTCTGATGGATACTGGTTTTCAGCCATCATCTTTGGCATCTGCATGGGCTGATGTGGTGGTGGTCGGGGGACCGCAAAGGTTTGTTGCTGTGGTCCAGGTTCTTGAAGTGAGTGAGGGACTGGGGCAGGTCCCACACCTTGTACAGGAACAGCTGTAGGGTTATGTGCAGAAGTGGGCAAGGTTGCCTGAGGTGGGGGAAGTAGGGAATTTTGGTGGGTGGGTGACAGGGGCGTGGTAGGAGGGGTTAATGGCTTGAACCCAGAGGGAGGTTTCCTATCATAGGCACTGTAAACAGAAAAAAAGAGAAGAAAACTTTAAGCTGCAATCAAGCCATTAACATGGTTACCAGGTCCAGCAGAACCCTAGTTTGTAGCCCATTGTTGCCAGGAAATGACAGCATTAACATAGTTAAATTGCTAGCAGCCCTGAGGGAATATTTGTACCTCTGAAAAGTGACAAACACACTGCGTCACAGGGACTTGTTTAACACTTCTAGTGATTTTTCTCTAAGATAATTTTAGCCTCTGCTTCCGGTTTCCTTTTTTCCCCTTTCTAAAAGAATTCTGTGTGGGCACCCATGTGTAGGGGTGGATGGGTAAGGGGGAAATCTAGCTAGGGGAGGCGTTTTCAGCCTCCTCTCCCAATGCTCCCAAGAATTACTCAGAATCTTCTGAAGGATCCATTTCTGCCGAAACATCACTCTTCTCCTCCCCGTTTTAGGAGAACCTTTGTTTATCTTCTAGACAGCAAAGAATGATTTAAAATTAAAGCTTCATTCCTGGGGCCTGGAGAGTCTTAAGTAAAGGGCACACGCATCAGGACTTGTTCATATATTCTGATTTGCAGATTACTTCTTTGGTGCTTAAAGTTCACATTAACATATGATAGACAAGAAAAAGTATATATATATTCCCTCCCTCGAAGCTACAGATCAAATCTCTCAGTATTTTGAGGCTTGTTCCCTAGGAGGGCTCAGTAACAGCTGAACTTCGGTCCCTGCAGAGATGTGTTACTGTGCAAGGGCCCCAAGTGGGCTGGTCTGTATCTGGAGGGTTACGTAGATATGAAAAATAGAGGTGTTCAACCCTAAGTGTCTGCTGGCTTAATGCTTGGAACAGTGTACATGAATGACTACGTCCAGAGCCTTTCTGGGCAGTGGCTCTGGGTTCCACTTACCAATAATTGTAGAGGCACTTTTCTCCATAGTTAGCACCAACAGCCTGCTCATGGCGACAGGATGACAGCTCAGAGGTGGGGCTGTGCAGTTCCCGTTTGATCTTGGTGGGAGGAGGGGCATGAAGCACCACTGAAATCAGAAGTGGGGGGACAAGTGGTTAACAGGGAGCATGTACTTCCTTTTGCAAATTGAGCAAATGGTCAATAGTCTTTTGGAACTAATGTCAAGTCACATGCCAGAGAAAGAAAAACACCTAGAACACATAAGCTTGCATCAAAAATCAAGGAATCGGTCTTTAAAGTCAGAAATCATCATCGATGCTTTTAATTATTCATATTCATATTTATTCATAATTATATATACATGAGGAAAACAAAATGAAGGTGAGGAAGAATACAAGGGGTTACTGACACCAAGAACAGTTTCCAAAAAGGGACAAAACAACTAAAACCATGTTGTTTTTAAGTGCAGTCAATTCAGTTCTGACTCAAAGTAACCTTATACAGGGTTTCTGAGGAGCAACTGGTAGGTTTGAATCACCGACTTTGTGCAGTCCAGTGCTTATCCTACAGTACCATACCAAAACTCCTAAAACTATGTGGTGCTGTAGGATACGCCTGGACTTACCACTGTACCACCAGGGCTCAGCCTACCCAACCCGTAAACAAAGAAACAAACCCCCGCATGTTTACCTTGTCTTTCTTATCTACGAGCCAACTCATTTCAGACAGGACACTTTGCACATAGTGGTAGTGTGTCATGGTTATGTGCCATGCGACCCCGTATAGGGTTTCCAAGGCTGTGAATCTTTAGGAGAGTAGAAACCCTCATCTTTCTCCTGCAGTTGGTAGATTAGACCTTGTGGTCAGCAGTCCAGCTCATAATCCACTATGCTACCAGGCTTCTTTACCCACAATGTTGTTGGACTTAAATGCCATAGAGTTGGTTTGGGCTCATAGTGACCCTGTAATAGGGTTTCTGAGAAGTGGCTAGTGGGTTTGAACTACTACTTTGCGATTCAAATTGGCCTTGTATCCAGAGCTTATCCTACAGTGCCACACCAGGACAAACTAAAGGGTTGTCTTCTGTAAGTTACAACGCGTCCTGGAGTGGCACTATTGGGTAAGTACTGTACCAATATCCACAAGGTCAGCAGTTCAACCCACCTGAGTCCTGATGTGGTACTGTAGGATAAGCATTGGAACTCAAGGTTCAAACTCACTAGCCATTCCTTGTTGTTGTTGTTGTTGTTAGGTGCCATCGAGTCAGTACTGACTCATAGCGACCCTGTGCACAAGAGAACAAAACACTGCCTGGTCTTGGACCAACCTCACTATTGTTGCCATGTTTGAGCCCATTGATACCGCCACTTTGCCAGTCCATCTTGCTGGGTGTTTTCCTCTTTTTCTCTGACCCTCCACCTTACCAAACATGATATCCTTCTCCAGTGACTGGTCCCTACTGACAATATGTCTTAAGTATGAGAGGCAAAGTTTGGCCATCGTGGCCTCCAAGGAACACTCTGGCTGCACTTCTTCCAAATGGGTCTATTGTTCTTTTGGCAGCCCATGGCACTTTCAATATTCTCCTCCAACACCATAACTCAAAAGCATCAATTCTTCTATGGTCTTCCTTATTTACTGTCCAGCTTTCACATGCATATGAGGCTATTGAAAATACCATGGCTTGGGGCAGGTGCATCTTAGTCCTCAAGCTGACATCTTTCCTCATCAACATTTTAAAAAGGTCTTGTGCAGCAGATTTGCCTAATGCAATACATCATTTGATTTCTTGACTGCTGCTTCCATGAGTGTTGAGTGTTGATCCAAGAAGAATGAAGTCCTTGACAACTTCAACCTTTTTTCATTGATAAGAATGTTGTTTATTGGTCCAGTGGTAAGGATTTTTGTTTTCTTTACATTGAAATGCAACATTTTAAGTCTTCTTCGCTTTCAGCAAGCAAGGTTGTATCATCTGTGTATTGCAGGTTGTTAATAATAAGTCTTCCTCCAATCCTGATGCTATGTTTTTCTTCATAGAACCCAGCTTCTTGTATTATTTGCTCAGCATACAGGTTGAATAAGTATGGTGAAAGAATACAACCTTGTCGCACACCTTTCTTAATTTTAAACCATTCAGTGTTCCCATGTTCTATTTGAACAACTGCCTCTTGGTCCATGTACAGATTCCTCATGAGCACAATCAAGCATTCAGGAATGCTCATACTTCACAATGTTGTCCATTGCTTGTCATGATCCACACAATTGAAAGCCTTTGCGTAGTCAGTAAAGCACAGGTAAACACCTTTCTAGTACAGTCTGCTTTCAGTCAAGATCCACTGGACCTCAGCAATGATATCCTTTGTTCCGCATCCTCTTCTTCCTTAGAAACCCCATAAAGGGTCGCTGTGAGTAGGAAAAGGCACTGTAGCAGTGAGGTGATTATGAATCGGGCTGCTAGCCTCATGAATGGTCTGCAGTTCAAAGCTACCAATTGTTCTGTGGGAGAAAGATGAGGCCTTCTGCTATTTAAAGATTTACAGCCTCAGAAACCGTATACAGGGCCACTATGAGTTGGAACCAACTCCACATCACATAACCATTAGCACAATCACAGCCACCATGAGTCAGAAATGACTCAATGGCACTTAACAACAGCAACAACATACAGGGTCGCTGTGAGTCAGACCAACACCAAACAGCAGGGCAAACTAAAGACGCTGCATCATGAGAACTCCCTTCTATAGGTTAGAATGACTACTCCTGGGTCCAGCTACCTAGAAGGATGAGAGGAGGAGAATGAGTTAAGCTCCAGTTAAGTGCCGGCTGCTTTCTACTGTATCAAAGGTCTCACTGAATAGCTAACCATGGTCAGTGCCCTTGTGACCCACTAACATTTTCTGTTTGATTCAATGTTTACTCCCAAAACATTTTCAGGAGTTTGGTTAATTCTTAATGATTATACAAGCTAGAATTAGCTAAATGATTATCTTTCCTGTCTGATAAGAATGAACAATCTCTGGATCAAGTGGTTTTTCAGGTGCCTCTTGTAACCCTGAGTTCTGAACTCAGAAGTGAACACATGATATTGGATGAAAGGCAACAAGCTTATAAAACAATGCTGCTGCAAAATTTTAACAATATCCCCTGAAAATTACCTGGAGATTTATTAACAAGTTGATTATGATTCAGTATATTTGGGGTGGAAATGCATTCTCAGCAGGTCATTAAACCGAAATGATCTGGTTTAAAAGCCCTGCTGCAAAGTCCTGCTTATGTCTAATTGAAAAGAACAGATTTTCACAATTGACAATTGCTTCTCCTGAACAGATGAAGTAAGTACAGAACTGGCAGGTTGTATTTAGAAGTCATTAGTGTCTCTCGTAATTTTTGGGTGATGACATCATGGCAAACTCACAATTGTTATCAAATGTTTTCAGACACAGAAAAGAGCTAAGTTTGTTGTATGAATGTTTTTAGTAAATGAGAAGGAAGAGTCAGATGTGACTCCAATGCAGTGGATGTTGTGGTGGTTCTTGGCACTGCCCTCTCACTAGTCTTCTGCCATAAAAGTTTTGGCAAAGTAATGGGGAAAGACGAATGGTGCTCCAATTTAAACAAAAGTTAAATATTCTAGAAAAGTCTACTTTTCTTCCTTTACCTAAAGATAATTATTTATCATTACTGTTTTACTGATGTTTGGGAAATACACACAGTGTTTTCCAATGTTCTCATTTTAGATATTTTTGACATGTTCACAATATTACTATAAAAATGACCAATTCTGCTGACAAGACTAACACCAGAGAGCAACCCTAACACTAGAAGTTAAAACAAAATTACCAAAGAAGGAAAAAAAAATTATTTTACAATGTTTTTAGGAACAGAAAGAGAACCAAAAGTACTAGCTAATTCTGATGTTTTCATTTCTTCAAACCTATACAGCACTCTTATGGAGCTCTAGTAGCGTAGTGGTTATGAATCGGGCTGCTAACCTATAGGTCAGCAGTTTGAAACTACCAGCAGTTCTGCAGGAGAAAGATGAGGCTTTCTGCTCCTGTAAAGATTTGTAGCCTCAGAAACCTTATACAGCATCGCTATGAGTCAGAACTGACTCCATGGCACACCACCACCATACAGCACTCTAAGTGTGTAGCTCATCATTTTAGCTCTAAATTATACGTATCTTCTGCTACCCCAACATTGTCTTATACATACAATATTGTGTTCTCTATATACAGGAGAAGCACAAAGGAGGATTTAAGGAATACTTGATGAGTGAATAAGTGGATTATATCTTCAACTGGTTCTTAACTTTGAAGGCAGGGGCCACTTGTGCCCTATAAGGCTAAATACAATGTTAGGTGTATCTTTTCCTCATAAATCAATTATTTGAAGGGGACAAGAGAATGAAATAAGGCAGGAATGAGAGTGGGAAGCTACTCAGATCTAAACTGATAGGAAAGCCATTAGACCCTGCAAGAGGTAAGGATGAAAATTCAGTTCAAAGGACTGCTGGGCTGGAGGATGTGTGAAGAAGTCTGATTAAGACGTAGAGATAGTGTTGTATTTAAAGCAAGAACTCAGGAGCCCACAGAATGCTAGCTTTGAGTCTTGTTTCCTCATTAGTAACATGATGTGTGCGATGTAGCTTGAAGAAATAGAATGGTACAGCACCTTGAAGATGGTGCTATGATGCAGTGTAATTATACCCTGTGCTTTCAAAACTAGAGCACTCACTTTTGCACAGTGGATTTACTAAATGACAATAGAGCCCTAGGACTATTAAGAATGGCAGTAAACTAGAATTGAAAGTGAAATCATGGACTCTTTAGGAAGTGTGAGAAGAAATGCTGAAAAAGATTGACAATTTGAGCAGATCCACAGTTTCTACAACTAGTTTTAAGCTTAGTTATAGAAGATGGGCACAGAAAACCATTGGTGTTCTGACAACAATTTCTGGTGAATGCCTTCCTTGCCATTAAGGATTCATTCATTTATTCACTAAGCATCTTCTAAGGGTCAGGTATTCTGGAGGTGCTAGGGATACACTGGTAAGCAAAACAGAAATGGTCCTTTCACGGCATACATAATTTAGTAAAGGATCTGAATTTTGGCATCTTCCGACAG